TCCAACCTCGAACATTCTGTGATTCTGTGAAAGCTTCATTACTAAATCATTTTATAAAAAAATAAAAAATTCATAAGACCAAATGGGATGAGACTGAATTTAGCCCAGCTTCTAGAACATATCATACCCCACCCACTCTGTGAAGCTGGACACGTCCACTTATCATACCCAGCAATAATAATTCCAGTGTGCACCAGAATAGATGGCAATGTTCCCTTGGACCTTAACATTAGAAAAACTGAGCCCACCCTTCCTGGTGCCATCTGTCCAAGAGGGCCCAAAACCCACCCAGTGAGCACAGGGAGGTTAATTTTAGACAGAATTGCTGAGTGCCTTCAGAGCCAGGCTGGGAAAGCTGTCCTTCTGCCACCACCTAGGATTTAGCAGTGCACCATGTGCTTTGTGTGAAAGCTTATTTCCATGCTGAATAAGAGCTATATTTCAAATACGGTATATTTGACCTTAATGCTCTTGATGACATAGCATGATATTTTTGAGTGTTGCCCACCAAGAAACCTTCTCCCTTTTGAATTCATACTTTAATTGATGCCTTTGTTTAAGATTTCACCTTCTTTGCATAAGATTGACATATTAAGTAGAAGCCTGAGGTGCTTGCAGTATAGAGGAGATAGTAGCTTTCCTGCTGCTGTAAATCAAGTATTCTTGAAGTACCAGTGTTAATAATAATAGTGCTTTGCAATTATACAAGGCTTTTCATCTTCAAAGTGCAAGCATTAATTCAGAAGTATATTTGTACCTGTATTCCTTCCCCATGCTTCAGGTATACAATCACCATGCAGGAAATTAAACGTGTTGTTTTTGCTTTCTGTTTAGACCAAAGGCAAATATGAATTTACAATGACTGAATATGACTCCTACTCAAATTATGAAAGCAGTGTCCTGAAGGCAAAAGCTTCACAGTCTGGCTTCGGCTTTGGTATAAAAATACCAGGAGTGTTTGAACTCGGTTACAATTCAAATGACAACAGGTTCAAGAAGTTCATTCAGAGGATGAAAAGATTTTCTTCAACTGTAAGCACTGCTCCACTTAATTCTCTGCTAACACAGCGTATGTGTGTGTGTGTTTTGGTGTGATCCGCCCTATCAGGTCAGAAGCCATGACTAGGATAAATGAAATCTTTTCCTCCTGGTTGGATTTTGCAGTTTGCATTGGTCAAGTGTTTACTAAAGCCACCAGTGCCTTCATTTGTGTTTCCAGCACCCAGGAGCTTTTCCCTTTCAGCCAGGAACCGGACTGACTGACCTCCAAAATCAGGCACAATTGAGTGCGGTCTGTCTGGCATCCTGCTGGGCATCCACATCTAGAGTTTCGTAGTGAAATCAATTTTAAAAGATTAAACGAAGAATATGGTTCAAATGGCCTCCCCTCCGTAGAGTGAACTCTCCAGCAGGAGTTGGGCTGTTCAACTGCAGGACAGCCTTGGCAATAACACAGAGCGAAATGTGCTAGCAAGCTTTCCAGGGCTTTAATTAGAGACTAACGAGTGCCATTTTATATGGGCCGATGTGGTCTGTCTGCCGAGTCCATCATTCACTAGACCAGGACACACACAGCACAAGAAACGGAGGCCACGACCACTTCCAGTCTCGTCTGCAGAGATTCGGTCGCAGCTGAGATCTGATGCACGCTTTAAACTGGCTGGAGATGCTTTAATCTATATAACTCCTAGGATTGCTTTATGAGATTCAGTCTGAGGTAGTGTGCACCATCGTTTGTTTTCTTTTTTTCTTTTTTTTATATGTTATTGCTATAAACAAATGCAGCTCTTGTCAATGGTTTAATAGCATCACTGATCTATGTCTCTCCCCTCAGTACAGAGAGCACTCGGGAATGTTGTAGTCTTGCGTGTTGCTATTAAACTTGCATTTGCTTCCTGCAAAGAGGCATTTCCCATGACAAGATCAGAGGTATATGAGAAGCACTTGCAATAGATATCCATAAAGAAATGAAATACAAAGTCTTGATTTTATTGTTTATGCTACAGGGTTCTATATTGAACCCTCCCTGGTGTGCTTGTCCTGCTGGCCCAAGCAACTGGACGCTAAATCCTTTGAACATGATGAAAGATCTCTTCTGTTCCTGACTTTTATGCCAGAAAAGGGAGATACAATATTTATCCATGTACATGTATCTATAGAGAGACATATAAATACAGTGTGTGTGCGCAAGCGTGTTTTCTTCCCTTTGAGTTGTGTTGATGGCATATTCTGTGGAGTATAAATATTAACTTGGTTCAGCCAGGGAATTACCATTTCACATATAAATCCTCATGGTTTCACGTGTCAGAATTTTTCAGGAAAGAGCTTGGGAGAGACAAAGGCTGGTCAACATTGTTAAGGGTAGAGCAGTCTCATGGGGTGCTGCTGGTGTCCTTAGGTGCTGGGTTGGTCAGAGCAGAGCCTGGAGCCTGCTTTTTCCCATGTCCCAGTCATGGCCAGAGCCATCATCTAACCCCTAATGAGTGTCTTCCCTCCTTTCCTCTCTAATACCAGTCAGAATCCTGATTTTTCAGAAACCTTACTACTGGAAGTTTTGGTTTGGCTTGATTAAAAGATTTCCAGCTGCAAACTGTTACATTCATAAACCCTGACCGGCATTAATCGTTTAACGGCAAATAACGACCCATTGTCACAAGAATGACATCCCTTGCTTCTCCTGGGTTCTCTTGTGTTTCCTGTAGTCCAGCAAATTCCTCCATGCCCATTCTGAGCTGACTGTTGCCGTTTATAAGCTGAAACCCCGAGCCCTGATGCTGCATTACGAGTTCCTGCAGAGGCTCCGTCAGCTCCCGGCAGAGTACAGCTACGGCGAGTACAGAGAGCTCTACAGAGACTACGGCACCCATTACATCACCGAGGCTACTGTTGGCGGCATCTATGAGTACACTTTAGTCGTGAACAGCAACGAGCTGCAAAAGGCAGGTGCGTGCATCTGATGGCTGTGAAAAAGCTTCGGGCCAGCTTTTGGATGGGGAAACCTCTCCGCAGGCAGCCAGTGATGGTTCAGGTCTGAGGTGAGAAAAAGAGGTGGTGGAAGAAGGAGTCAACAACTTCTCTAAGAAAGCCTGCAGGAAATACGAGGGTAGAAGTGCTTTATGGCAGTGAATTAGGAGCCTGGTTTTCAAAGCATACCCAGCAGCATCTAGCTCTCAAGCTGTGGGTGCTGCCAATTCACAAAAGAAAGGGCCCTGTAGCAAGCATTTTAGTCGACACAGTTTGGAGGCTGGCAAGATGTTGAGATGAATGATAGTCATGCAGCTTAACGCTTTTCTTAGCTTTGAAAACCTTCGCCCAAGTTCTTCCATTGCCTTTCAAGTGACGGCTTTGAAACACCTTTAGCCTCGAGACCTTTTGCAGCGTGTAGGAAACAGTAAATAATTTTCTGGGTGACTCTTGTGCCTGACATTGCTCTTGCTCTTTGACTCCGGCTTCCTTTTTTGCGAGAAATGATGATTGTTGTGTAGGATAGAACAAGCCGTGTGACATTAATCAATAGCTGCACTCTCTTATTTGTTCATTGGCATGGGAGTGAGTAACTGCCTTTGCTGTCTATTTGCAAAAGCGTTTAGTGGACTCTGCTCAGTCTGTTTGCTCTTCTGCTGCCTAAGAAGTTGCTTATCTGGTAGTCAGACACAGCCCAGAGGGACAGAATTTAGATTCATGTGGCCCCATTTCTCAGCTGTTTCTCGTCACAAGCCACGTTTGTTTGGACTAATGTGTGTTATTGTTTGCATCAAAATGCTGCCTGTCAGCGTGTGCTGACCTGGCTCAGGATCCTGCAGTAGCACCCAGCTTTTCGCGCTAAACCCAGTGCTGAGCTGGGCTCGAAGTTCTCAGCAGGGCTGGGTAGGTCCAGGCTGAGAATTCATTTTTTTTCCCTTTAAATCCATCCTTATATTTGTACTGTCTGTGCTGGAAATCAAGTCTTTTTGCAGATCTAGTGTCACATGGTTGATACTTGCACTGCTCTCACATTTACTCTTAATATGCCAGATGTGTCTGTAGTTCATGATTTGGTACTTTCTGTGGCAAAGATGGCTGGAGAGACATCTGGACTGTGCTGTACAAGGATGTCAGAAGACTGAATCCTGCATTCAGGTGCCTATGGATGGATGATGAACATTAGTAGGGGCCATCCTGCGTCAACCCAAAACTCAGTGCATCCTCTTTTCTAATTTAGAAACTGGCCAATATTGGGTGTATGAGAAGAGCTTAGGAACAGGACAGTCACACAGCGACACTTGTAGCATCAAAACATGAGTTTAACTAAAAAAGTAAAGCATTCAGGAAAACACCGAGGGTTGCAACAAAAAAAAAAGCAGAGAAAGTAGAGAGATACATGAGTGCTGTATCTGGTATTTCACCATGATATCCCATAAATATCCCTGAGTGTCAGGACAGCAGGGAATTTGGAGGAAGGTTTTTGGGACAAACATATGAAGGATTTGCAGATCTTTAGGGCAAATTCTTATGTCCCAAGAAAAAATATTATAGCAGAGTTTCACGGAGAAACTTCCATGGAATGATTAAGGCTGCTCTGGCAGCAAAGAATTAAGATATGAATGAGCAAAGGGAGGAAAAACTGCTTCATCTGTTACTCTTAAAAAGCCTGTATCCTGATGGTGGGGATGGGTGATGGGCCGTCCTCTGTCAAAGACTTTTGGCATTTAAGTCACAGGCCAGGGTCCCACCAGTACAGCTGAGTTGGTAATTTAAAACCTCCTCTTCCAGCATTTCCCTCTCATTTGCACATTCAAAGTGTCAGAGTTCTGTAAAATGTAGAGATTTTATTTTGTATAGATCTGTTCAATATCCAAACAAAAGGCTTCTTCATCTCATCTTTTTTTCCCAAAGGAAAAATATTTATCAACTCTCATTTTCCATGTATGTGGACATAAAACATCAAACAATTGTACTGAAACTTTGCAATTTTTTTGGTGTGTATTTCAGGTTATTCTCTGAGCGATGTCCAGAAATGTGCACAGTATGGCTTTAACATTGGTGCAAATATTTTTTGGGTCTATGTGAATCCTAGAATAACTGAAGCCAGTTGTAAATCCCTTTTAAAAGAGATTGGAGGTAAGTTTGAAACAATTCTGCCCCTTGATTTCTAGGCTTTGTCATGGGGAAAAGAAGATTTTGTGATCTTGCCTGCCTGAAAGATTTCCCCACTCCCTCACAGCTGCTTCTGAGTCTGCTGACTAACCCCAGCCAAGCTTCACAGAGGTGTAGATGTCTCAAAGCTTGGGGTTTTTTGCAAGATTTTCTTTTCTGGGCTGACAAGAAATAGCTGCTCGGTGTCCCGGGGAGAAGCAGGGACAGATCAGACATTACCTGCCCGGCTGGTGCTGTGTTGCCAACCCACCCACCTCTCAGCAGAGGAGCCCAGTGTGCCTCTTTTTGCACCCAAAAGAAGGCCCAAATGGGTGTTGTGGGAGTCTCGGGAGGCAAATGGGAAGCTGGAGGTGTTATAGAATCATAGAATTGTCAGGGTTGGAAGGGACCTTAAAGATCATCAAGTTCCAACCCCCTTGCCTTGAGCAGGGACATCTCCCGCTAGATCAGGCTGCCTAGTGTTGCAGCAAGCGGAAGGACCTGCAAGATTATAACCGTAGGGACGGAATTTAGGGGAGAGAGAGAGAGGATGCAGGAGAAGAGGATGGGGGCGTTGCTTCAAGGGAGCATGAGGGACGGAGGAGACACAGAACAGGAAAGCAAGACTTCGGATGTGGAACGCTTGTGGCCTTTTTCCTCTGCCCTGTCTCTGGGGTGGGTGATATATAGGGGTGTTTCACTGTTAGCTTGTATCTCAGCTGCAATCCCCAAAGACTTACCAGAGCAGAGCTGGCCACTTTCTGAATGCATTTTTGCAGACAGCACCACCAAAAAGCGATACGTGGAAGATTTCATCGTCCTTGTTCGTGGCGGAGCGAGCGAGCACGTTGCCACCTTGGCTTACAGAGACCTGCCAACGGCTGCGCTCATGCAGGAGTGGGGAGATGCTGTCCAGTACAACCCCGAAATCATAAAGATAAAGGTACTGTCTCCATCACTTCATTAAAGCTTCACTTGGCTGAGTGCCCTGGAGAACTCTATGTTTAAATAAACATGATTTAGGAAAAAACACGCAGGGAAATTCCCAGGGCAAATAACAAACCTATACTGCGCAGCTTAGTTTCTCCAAGACCAGATATTCAGAAAATCAAAGGTGTGATGTGTTAAAAAGGGTTTGTTTGGAAGAACACGAGGTCAAGAGCTTTAACCCTTCTAACGTGGCTGTGCAGATGGGAAGGCTTGCTGCCTGCCAAGCAGGTCAGATGATCCACCTGTTTTACCAGTGTATCACTGATCAAAAATACATACAATCATAGAATGGTTTGGGTCAGAAAGGACCCAAAGGCCATCTAGTCCAACACCCACTGCAGTGAGCAGGGACATCTTTAATTAGCTCAGGGTGCTTAGAGCCCTGTCTCACCTCACCTTGAATGGTTCCAGGGATGGAGCTTCTACCACCTCTCTGGGCAGTGTATCTGGCAGCATATATTTTCCAAGGACTTCTGTTTTCTCAAAATTTCTCCTGCCTTCTGTGAGCACCAGTGACAATCTAGCAATAATTCTCTCTTTCAAAAAGTCAAGAAGTTCAGTAAACACGCCTGGGTGTTTTGTGCAGCTTTGCTACACCTTAAAAATATGACTTAGTTTTGGAAAAGTCAAGGGGTTTTGATCCTGAAGAGTTTTAGAAATGCAAGGCACTGTAAAAGTTAAAAAAAAAAAAGTGAGCAGAGTATGTAGCAATTCTGCATCATCATTTTTTATGTTGAAATAAGTTCCCTTTGAGTACAAAGATGCAAGAGACCATCCTTTTAAACAGGACTGGTAGTGGCAGAAGTTGATTTTCTCACTGTATAATTGGTTTTCATTGTAAAATTTCATTTTAGAAGAAATATTTGTATTTGTAAAAGGTGTTTGTTTCTCATTGTGAATCCTGAGTTTTCATTTAAAAAAAAAAAAAAGAAAAAAAAAAAGAAGAGGTGAATTCTAAAAAATACAAAGCAAAGCAAAGACCAGTAACTGGGAAATACAGCCAGTGCCTGTCGAGTGCTTGCTGCGGCAGAGGTGGCTTTTCCAAGCCCCTGATGCGCTGTGGATTCCAGAAATGCCCTGGGAGGTTTCCAGGCAAGAGACAACAGAAATGCAACCCTCCACTTTAGATTCCACAAGAAAGTGCCATGTTCTTTGTCTTGCCTGGCACCAGTGACCAGGCTGCCCAGTGGAAAGCCTCAGACAGATGTAATTTGGATGTGGTATCTATAATCCTTCATTTCCATAGTGATATCCCCGTGGGGCTTGAAGATCAAAAGTAGCAGCAGAGTGTGACTAAATGTCAGCACAAGAATGCTTAGTTAGGGAAAACTAAAGCAAATCAGTTCATAAATCACCTGCTGAAGGGACTTGGCAGGTCACTCGTAGCATGTTTCCTCATTTGTATGATCTGAATTCAAAAAGCAAAGTATGGATCACAGGTAATTGATGAAGAGTGGATGTACGGCAGGAGGAAATGAGCAGGTTTTTTTTTTTTAATTGAAACATTCTTCTATTTCTTGTGGTTTGAGCCTGTGATAGCAGTGGGGTGATCATTCGTGCTGTATGGCAGGCATCACTATAGCAAGGGTGGGAATTTGGGATGGATCCTCTGGCGACACGTGCCAATGTCATCCCACTGGCATTGGTGGGTGACTGGCAATATTGAGACCACACTTTAACTTTCCCTGGTTCTCAGGAAAAGAATAAATGAGCGAGTCAAACTCTATGCACGTTCACCGTGTTGTGCCCCCCCTTGTCTTCTCCCACCGACCCCATCTGCAGCTGAAGCTCACAGTCCTCTCCCAGCTGAAGGCAGGGATAACCCTCATCTTGGCTTTTCAATGTGAAAAATCAGCCTTGAAATTTAGAGGAGGTTCCAGTGGAAGTGCAGATCTGAATGCCTGTGACCGTGTGTCTCTGGCTGTGCCATGTAGGAAGAGTGAAGGGGACTTCTGTGGGTGGGGTTTGGGGGAACCTTTTTAAAACTGGAGGAAGGGAGCACTCAGGAGACGTAAGGTGGAGCAAATCTGATCTGAAAATGTCAGTATCAGGAAAAACGGATGAGAAAGGATTTAATGAAACTTCTGGGACACGTTGCCCATTTGTGAGCTCACGGTAGGGCTGTTTCATGTCGTTCTGCGTTTGGTGCTGTAAATGGAGTGGAGGATCCCTGTAGATGTTCCTGACATTGCAGCCTTGTTTAAGGAATTATTAATGGGAAACCTGGAGCCTGATACCACAAGGCTTTCATTTCCCTCGCTGACTGAGCCCTGAGATGCTCACGCCATCCTCAACTTGGAAATGAGCGCAGTTTCTTCCCTCCCTTCAGGCAGAGCCCCTGTCTCAGCTGGTGACTCCAACCGACTTCACCAACGCAGTCACAATAAAAGAAAATCTCCGACGGGCTCTTGAGGAGTTTCAGCTGGAGACCAGTTCCTGTCGCTGCGCTCCGTGCCACGGCAACGGCATCCCCTTTCTGCAAGGTAAAAGCTGTCTTTCTGCAGGGTAAAAGGTGTTTTGCACCTCTTCTCTCACCTCTAAAGAGAAATGGGCTGGGAATTTATGGGTAGGGTTGACGAATAATCTGTGCTCCTTAGTTTCTCCTGTCATTTCTTTTTCAAGTAATTAATTAATTACTGTTTTTAAGTTGGCCTATTTGTAGAGTGCCACCAGCAAGTAAAGACAGTGAAATCAAGGGATGTGTCTTTTTAATGGGAGTGACCATCTGTATCAGTTTTGTGGAAGGAATTTGTTCCTTTTCAATTATGCATTAAAAAAAAAAAAACCAACTTGACATCCTTAAGTCTTCTCCTTTGCTTTTAAGATTGCTTCTATCCTCCTAGAGAAGTGACTAGTCTCAGCATTAATTAGTGTTTGTAAAAGTGTTTTGAAGATGAAAAGCACTATATAAGTGCCAAGCACAGTTATCACCGTCACCCCCCCTCCCCGTTTCTAATAGAAGCTGTCCTCCTTTGTAAGCAGGCTGTGATTTAAAAATGAAGGGGAAAAATAATCAAATTGAATGAAAACCTGCACTGCCTAAACAGAGATATATGATGTGATGAGAGCTTCTAACAAAGGGACCATTTTATCAAGTGCCTAATTCCAATCTACATCTGCAAAAGTCCTGATGACAATCGTTATCGTCTAACTGCATCTAATGCAGAAACATGCTTCAGGTACTAGCGAGCTGATTGTATCACTTAAACGATTCGTCTCATGATTGCCCTTCTTTAAATAACTTTTTAAGGGGCTGAGTCAGGTTAGCGTTTGCTTTAGGATCTTCTCAACAAGAGGTTGTAAATGACCATTTATTTTCTCAAGTGGGAGCCAGGTTACATGGACTTTCCCTCTGCCGCCGAGCCAAGCTGGGATGCTCCTGGCCTGGGTGCTCCCTGCAGTTCGCTCCCTCCCAACTCTAAGATGTCTCTTTTGGAGAGGAACAGGGGGATTGGAAGTCTCTAATCTCACCATCCCTGTTTGCTTTCAGGAACCAAATGTGAATGCATGTGTCCCCTTGGCTACAGTGGCACTGCCTGCGAGATCAGCAAGCGGAGAGGTAAGAGGGACCGTCCCCACTTTCAGTCCTGGCTGTGTTTAAGGGTGTCCAGGAAAGGTGACTGATGGATTGGGAGTGATGCCCCGCGCTGGCTGTCCACACTCTGCACAGAGGGTTAGGGCCACCCGCAAAGGTGGCAGATAGTCTTTGCCTGCCCTCTTCTAAAAGTCTTTATGCTTGGAGGAGCTGGCTTTGCTTTTGCAGTTCAAAGCTGCGTAAACACGCTTTGCAATTGTATCAAAATACCATCTCCTGCCTAATTTACAATCCATGACAAGCCTCAGGTCGCCTCCAACAGCTCTGTTTCCTACATTTTTCCCTTTGATACAGCCAGTGTGTTGCAAACTGTTTTCCCCTAGATATGCTACCATGCATTTTAATCTTAAAATCTTATTATGTTGTTTTGAAGCATTTACTAATGTTTCTTGGTCACTTTATATCACTTCTGTCTGCTGACTGATGTTCTTAACTCCTTCTAGTTTAGGATGATCTGTGAATTTAACCATTTTGTGTACTTCTTCCCACTCATTAATTTAGATGCTAAATAATACCAGATCTCAGGCACCCAGAGCTCTGGCACCATCCCACAATTAGATGCCCTGCATTTATCAATGGTTTTTGTTTACCGTCTTTTATCCAATTCTCGTTCTGCATGGCTGTGTCCTGACTAAGCCAGGCTGAAATACGTTTTAAGCCAGGATTTCGCTGAGCAGAAGGTGAATTTTGTAGGTGTTTCTAAGGAAATCCGTGGAGCCATAATCCATGGAGTCACTTACACCTTGTTCCAGTCTGCTTCCCGCACGCATGATCACATCCGACCCTCCCAAAGACTCGCATCCATCCACTTGTCAACATGTAACTTCCTTTCTCACTCCCCTTTCCTCTTTGTACGTATTGCCTTCGTGTTCGGCTCCGTGATTCTCACAATTTTGAATTTATGTCACTCACGTGCTCAGGGTCCAGAAGAAACAGTGTAATAGGAAAAGCAGTGGATAGAAAGCTGAATATTCAAGATGTTGTTCACTGAAGAAGAACATGTTAACATTTCCCTTAGCACCTCGAAATGTGACTGACACGAGCTTGGTTTTGCCGTTTGCCTTACCTAGGCTTGGACTAAGTCGGAGGGAGGAACATCCTACAAGCAAACATAAAGCTAATTGATGATTTTTTTCCTTGTCCTCTCTGCATAAAGTGTAGTTTGAACAAGCACCAGAAACGCTGAACTGAGAATTAACATCCTTAAAACGGTCACTCTTTGTTAATGACTCAACTATATTGTTGGTGTGGACAGGGACAGAGCTGTTTGTATTTAAATATGGTTCATGGAAGCTGACAGCTCTGCCCATGGAGAAAGCTGCTTTATTCTGACAATCTTTTCTGGCTTTGGGTTTTTTTCCAGATGCTGCTATTAATGGAAACTGGGGTTGCTGGGCCAGCTGGTCTCCGTGTTCGGGAGGTCAACGAGCAAGGAGGCGACAGTGCAACAACCCTGCCCTGCAGGACGGCGGTTCATCATGCTCAGGGCCAGATGCTGAGACAGTTGCTTGCTAGAGGCAATGCTTAGGAACTTACACAAAACCGATGAGCAGTTTGCAAACTGAGTGGGATGGTGTTACCTGACGGGGTCCCTAAGTTGGCTTCGCTCTGCTTATGAGTCTCATCCCATGGAGTTGGAAACATTCCAGAGGGATGTGTGTTTGCAATTGTCCCATGGGATGGGATGTGCTTACTGTTCTTAATATTTTGACTTTTCTCTGTCTTTATTGCAATGGGCTAACTGAGACAAGCTTTATCTCCCACCTTGTTTGGTAGCTGTATGACTTTAAGTTTCACTGTCTTGTTTTTGAAGGTTCCTTTCAGATAGGAACAGACCGTTTGATCTTTATGTGCACCAGAACATGCGTTGGCATGCAGCTTCTGTGAAGACAGCTGTGTCATATGGAGCAAAATACAGCATATTAAAGTCAAAATCTCAGTGATTACAATAGTATCTCATGGGACATTTAAAGCCACTGTGCCTCGCTACTCCATTTTCCCAATTTATCTTATTTAGCTTGTCTGTTGTATTAGAAATTGTCTTGAAGGAGTGAAAACTGAATTGTGAAGAGCAGTCTGGTGACACCAGAGTGTCGTTAGACTGTATAGCAGTTGCTCTCCTGCCTCAGCAGTGAGCTTCCTATTGTGTGTTTCTGAAGTAGAAGAGATACGCTGAGAGTATCGGATGCATCCCGGTGTGCTCGGATATGCCGACACGTGGTTTCTTGGGCAGGTCAGAGGGATGGTACTAGAATGGGGAGCTGGAAAGCCTGTATCTCAGCAGCTCTGACACTAGTCCTCTCAGGTGGACATCCAAGATGGAGAATGTTTGCTATGAAAAGAGCAAAAGCAAAGTGAACTGTTTTCCCTTTGTTCCCATCCCTAGAGCTGTGCATGTAATCCAGGTCAAACAAAAGAGGGACTTGTGCTCTTTCATGACTGACCTGAGCCTGGATCATTCCAGGGACTTAGAGAATCACACAGAATCACAGAATGTTCGGGGCTGGAAGGGACCTCAAAAGATCATCTAGTCCAACCCTCTTGCCAGATCAGGATCACCTGCAGTAGGTCACACACCTCCTCCAGCTTTGTGGTGGTGATTGGTTCTTGCAGAGACATTTGGTGGGGCATGCTGTGAAATAGCCAGCAATAGCTTTGCTCCGGGAATATGATTCCATCAGTGCAAAGTTCTTCATAAGTGTTGTGAGTCTTCTAACATCGGCAAGGTCAAACATTCTCCTGAGGGTTTTTAGCAATGATGGTGATGATGGGTTGGTATCGCCAGCTCCTCTCCTTTCAGGCTGACGTTGTCTAAATGTAATTCTTGTAAGAACAGCTCAGGCTCTCTGACATCTGAACAATGGAACATGCATTTAGTTGTAGCCCTCATGCCGCCTCCACACTTATTGACAAGGTTCCTGTGACAGCTCTAAGAAAGGAAGAGCACATTGCATATGTAAAAAGAAGAGCGCTCTGTACTCATTATGAGCTTCATAATTGAGCTGCCAATGCAAAATATTTCCACTATCCACCGTGTAACTGTGATATCTTTTGTGTGGTAGAAATTTGCCAAGAGGTTTATTTTGGGTCCTGGTGAAAGAGGTCACTGCTTATGCGAAGTATGATGTACTTCAAAGCTTTTTAAAGCTCTGCAGCAGAGGACCCTGATCATGGTTCATGGGTGTCTGTGAGGACACATCCTGCAGTGCAGTCGCCTGCCCTTCTTGAGAAGCCTCAATGTAAGCTGATTAAGGAACTTTATCAGGTAAATCGAGTGACTTTTATAGGTTTGGCCACCTTTCCTGATCTTCAGGCTGGAGTGAGTCCTCTGACACGTAGCCACAGCGCATCTGTCCACTGCTGCAGCAAGCAGAGCCAAAAGGAGCAGCCTAAATTTGGATTGTTGTTCCCAGATCACAATAGCTCAGATTTTTTTTGAGGTGGCGATACCTGGGTTTGGATACTTGGGTGGGGTTTTTTTTGGAGGAAGAGAGATTTGACAATCTTCAAGATCAGCAGGATAGTCTAACTGAAATATGGTTTCAGTAGGAGTTGAATATTGAGCCTATAGGCTTAGAATCCTCCCATAAAGGGCATAACTTTATTTTGTCTTTGTGATTTTGTGCTTTGATTCAACAAACTAATGATTTATTATAACCTGGAGTGTAATAAAGAAAGCTGTGCTGAAGCTTTTATTGTTTCATTTTGGTATGCATTAAATTTTGGTACTATCTTTTACTGGTGTTTCTAACTGTGTAAGTTCAGATTAATAACCCACGTATGAAAACTTGGGAAGGCTGCAGGCACGATGCATGGCATGCACTGATCTCCCTTTTCTCTGTTAAGACACTTGTCTCAGTAGGCTTTACTCCATCCCATATTATATTTTCATAAACCCTATGTTTATGACAAAAAAAAAAAACAACATGGGGAAGCTGTATTTTTAATGCCTCCCTGCTTGAAGTCATTGCAAGCGAGCTGCCAAACAGGTATTTTTGGTAAGTTGTAATCATCACATCCAGCTTTCCAAGGACAAAACCAACTTGACTCTTGCAGCCCCCAACATCTCCATCAGGAATGGGTAAATCAGGCTTGTTTCCAGCCTGGATTCGCCTGCTTTCTGTCTTTTGGTGTCATGCAGACATTTTACGTTTGCCTGTGGCGCTGGGATGTGGTCTGGGCTGTGGCTGGGGACTTGCAAACCCTGTGGCAGGTGTAGTAGTATTACTAAATCACTTCACCACACTCCCTTTTCTCCTGCTATCAGACATATATAGTTGTTCCTCTCCAGGTTCTCTCACAGATGGAGAGATTTTGTTGAAAGCAACCCAGCGAGTCCATGCAGAGGTGTTAAGAGTCCCCAGATATCCAGCTCCTAGTTCTTCTACCTTGATGGCTAAAGAGCCCAGTGCCAGATTTCAGGTCAAATTATGCCTGCAGATTTGTCTGCCTTTTGTATTGTATTTAACACCCCCCTGCTTCTGTAAAGCAACAAAACTAGAGATGAAGACAGTAATTATTGGCTTTATAAGCATATATTTTTTACTTATTTGTAATGCAGCACCAAGGGTCCCACTGTGTTGGGAACGATAGAGCAGCACAACAAATCCCAGTTCCTCCCCAAACTCTCCAGAATTGGGCGTTTCTTTTGATTCAGGGTTTAGGGCTTTTTTTGAGGGGGTAGGATTAAATGTTTCATATCTTCCTGTGCCACTGCTTTATGCTGCGCGAAGAGGCAGGCAATAATTTCTAAGCTGTTCATGCCGGGGAGTTTTTCCCTGCTCTGAAATCTCAGGCTCCGAGGGATGCGGCCACGGGTGGATGGTCGGTGTGACATTGACCCCGAAGTAGGAGCCAGCTCTGTCTCAGGCACTGCCCTTATCTGCCCTTCTCTTCGCTGGTTATCTGGAGTCTGCACCTTGCAACCTCAGATGTATTGTCATCAATCATTTGCTGTTTTCTTTTTGCGTACTGGCTCTTCTCTGCCCTTCCTTTGTTAATAACCCAGTTTGCCTATATCCCTAAAAATATCTGATTGCGATACCATTTATCCAAAGCAGCATACATCCATCATGTACTTATGAGCGAGATAAACAAGGTCTCCTGGGAAATATGCCGCGAGAAATATATAGGATAAATAACTATATCAAATGTATGTCAGTGTTCAAGAGGGGAAAATCCATTCATTAAAACCAGGGTGGAACTGCAGTGTTTTATTGTACCCTCTGAGCTTTTAGTTTAAGTAAGAAATGGACATTTTTGCTGCTTATCTCATCTAGCGCAACTCTCCAGCTGTGCACTTCAGCATGAGATATATTAGCTTCTTTGAGTGACATTGTAAATGTGTAATTGCTTGTAATATTTTTTTTTTTTCCTCCGGACCTTACAGGCAGCTGCTTCCTTTCTTTTACCTTCAGCTTTGCTGCTCCTGAGTTTTCAGCCATGTGGATGTCAGAGCCCTGGATGCAGCAAGGGTCTGCTACCGAGGGATGTCTTGGGCGTTGGAAGGAAACCCTTTGGTTTGTATTTCTTTGCCGTGGGTTGTGAGGTGAAGGATGAGCTCTACCCCACACATATCCTCGCTTTCATGTCTCTGCTCCAACACGGTGATGTTCAAAGTGGGAGGTGGACAACCGCAGGCGAATCCCAGCTTTTCTTGCTTGATGGTATTTCACATGCGGTGTCTTTTATCACTTGGGTTTGTGCTTTTTTTTTGGTGGTTCTCCAGCCTGTGATCTATCCTTCTAGAAATGACTCTAAAAGCTGCAGGTGCAGGTTGCCTTCGTGCAGTCCTCATCCCTCCCGTGCCTCCAAGGCATCAAATTTTTCTATTTATTCATTTCTTCCCTCTGGTCACAAAAAGAGCGTTCTCAGCTTTCTAACTAAGGTGACTTTATACTCATTTACTTTCTGGCATTTTCCTGAGCCCTAAGCAGTCGGTGTAAAAGTAAGAATCACCTGTGAGCCAAACTAGTTCTTGGTGTCAGAGCAGTGGCTCCTGTTTCTACCCAATATGCCAGCCCAACACCAAGAGTATTGATAAAACCGCCGACGGGAAAATCTGTTGTGATCCTACATTTCACATTCCTTTGGGGATGTCATACTGATTCGTGGGTGCTTCACATTGCTGCGTTCTCCCAGCACAGAAGACATCAGGTTCAAGCCCTTGGGAGCAAACTTCATCTCTGGGCAAATGTCACCTTTATCCAGAAAAGAAAAGTTGGCAAAAAGGCCACAGCTTTACCATTCACAATAGGGATTTTTCACAGAACTCAGTGTTTGAGACAACGTGGTCTGTTGTTCTCATACACAAAACAGCCTATCGTTTCATTTCCAGGCAAAAGAGGAATGGTGAAAAAATTGTCCTCTGGCAACCGTGCGCACAAAAGAAAATACGAGGCCAGATCTTCAGGTAGCATAAATCAGCCGCGGCGAAGGAGCGACACTGATTTACATCAGCTAAGTGTCAGACTCTAAATCACCACTGACACGCTGTTGAAAAACAAGCATTTCCA